GACAAAGCGGGAGGCCATTAGCACCGAGCCTTATCAGGGCGCGGGGAGGGCGGGGCGGCAAACTTCACACCACGACTGTGAATTTCTCATACCATTTATGGATTTGAATAGCGGTGGGCGCGGAGGAAGGCGGGTGCTTCTGAATGCGAGTCTGTGTGTGTGTGTGTGTGTGTGTGTGTGTAAGTGTGCGTGCCGTGTCTCTACATGTTTTCCCGAAATGCTTTTCATTCCATATCTTTTCTGCCGGAATATTATCATTGAGGCCCGCGACTGTTTGCATGTGTTATTCCGGGTGAAACAAAAGAAAGCACGACAGAGGAGGACAGCAGCAGCAACTCGGTAACAGTAGTGATTGCCATCCACCGGCAGCACCTCAGCGCCCACACAGAGGGACCCACCCTCTACGACGGCGACGCGGGCCGCGCGACTCGCCCCCTCCTTCCCTCCCTTTCCCTCACTCGCTGATCAGTATGCACCCCCGGGTACGCGGCGGCGGCAGCAGCGACGGTGGTGGTGGTGGTGCAGCCCCTATAATATGTGTGTGTTGTGCCTGGACGTTTTTTCTCCAACGTACACTACACCTGTGCCGGCGATAACACAACTACCCGGACTCAGACAGACGGACGAACAGACAGACTGCTTCAAGGGGGTTGGAATGGAAAGAATGTTTGTGACGGCCGAAAAAGTTGCCGCCGCCGACGTCGACGACGTGGGTCGGGTTTTTGGTGCTCGCTGATGAGCCATCGGCGAGGACATTGTGGGCGCCTGACGCTTCATTCCGCGAAATCACGTGACTTTGTCGAGCCCGGCCCCTCCTCGTGTCCAGTGATGGTGGTGACTCGACTGCTCCAGGCGGGTAGGGACCTCCAGGAGGACGAGGACCTTGTCCAGCGCATTCCAGATCGGGCCGTCTCTAATTCTCCTCTTTGCCTTTATTGGTTCCAGGCGGACGCCGCTGGAGCCTCCAGCGGCCCCAAGAGATGCTGCGTCAGCCGAGGTAAGGCGCCAGCAGCAGGTCATCTTACGGGATCATCACCATCGTCGTCGTCGTCGTCGAAGGTGGTCGCCGTCGACGACCGCTATAAGTATGATGGCCGTTTCATAAAACGAAAATGGCTGCGTGGGAAAAACGTGACGATACACACCGCGGCGCGGGCGCCAACGAACGTCACGCAGAGCAGCCGTCACGTGACGTGTGACGGACGTATCGCGGGGCTGGCATCGAATGAGCAGCCGTTCGCACCACCGCGGCGTCGTTTCCTGCTACCGTAAATTAATTTGTCCGTGTGGTGCGTTTTTACGACGAGAGCAAACCAAACCACCCCAATAGGCTGCGCGGCGGCCGAGGGGCCGGGGGTAGCGCCGCGACGCATATCACATGCCTGATTGAAGGCTAAACGTCGCACCAGCGGCAGCAGTGGCCCGAAAACCGCATCGAATCGGTGATGACACCGACCTAAATCGCCCACGAAAAAGAGACCTTCCTCTGCGTTGCTTCTGCTCTGGTTGGTCCCCCCCCCCCACCCCCCATCTCTCGATCACTCGCAGTGTGTGGGGTATATGAAACGGCGTCGTATACGCAAATCGCGCGCAGCGTGCTGACTGAGTCGCGGGCTTTCGTTCCGCCCGTTGAGTGAGTGAGCGAGAGCGTCATATCTTTTTACATGAGAGCGAGAGCGAGAGAGAGAGAGGCAGCATCCTTATGGACCGATGAGGAAGCGGAGGTCGGCCCCATCCCCATTATGGTGGGGATGTACACTTTTATGGAGGACGGCGCGACGTTGATGATGACGACCAGGACGACGATGACGGGGACGGACGTCGAGGAAATTCGCGGCGGCGCATCGTGTCGTGTCGTTCACAC